TAAGCTTGGATAATAGAAGTTGAAACTGAGGACCATGAAGAGCCTTTGTGTGCAGATCTGCTAACTGAGCATGTGTCGGAATATGCATAAGTTTAAGAATGCCTTGTTGTATCTTGTCTCGAACCAAATGACAATCAATCTCAATATGCTTTGTCCTTTCATGAAATGTTGGATTATGAGTAATGTGAATGGCAGACAAATTATCACAGAACAAAGCTACAGGCTGCTGGATTGGTTGATAAAGATCCTTGAGAAGGTACAGTAACCACTGAATTTCACAAGCTGTGGTTGCTATGGCCCGATACTCAGCTTCAGAAGATGATCTGGAGATTGTGCTTTGCTTCTTAGACTTCCAACTAATCAAAGAATCTCCATAGAACACATTGTAACCAGTGATGGACCTCCTAGTATCAATACATGAAGCCCAATCTGAATCACAAAAACCTGTGATTTTATGTGAAGATTCTGAGGGAAAGAACAAACCCTGTCCTGGCTGCTGTTTGAGGTACCTGAGAATTCTCAAAGCAGCATCATGATGTTCTCTCATTGGTTTAGACAAAAATTGGCTTAAAGTGCTCACTGCAAATGACAGACCAGGCCTTGTTTTAGTGAGGTACAAAAGCCTGCCAATGAGTCTTCTATAAGCCTTAATATCAGGAAATGGATTATCTGTGATGGCTGGAAATTTTGAACCAGGAAGCATTGGAGTATAGGCAGGCTGACTAGCAAGTAAACCTGCATCTTCAATGAGCTCCAAGGCATACTTCCTCTGTGAAATCACCAAGCCTTGTTTGGAACTTGCTACTTCAAAACCAAGAAAATATATGAGATCCCCTAAGTCCTTGGTCTTGAATTTAGCATCCAGAAATTGTTTAACACTTGTGATTTCTTCCAGATCATCACCTGTGAGGACAATATCATCTACATAGATGAGCAAAACTGTTAAATGATCAGCATGTGATTTTACAAACAAAGAGTAATCACTCTGTGATTGTTTGTAACCCAAGGAAAGAAGGGAGGCAGTGAGTGTATGATTCCATTGCCTGCTAGCCTGTTTTAAGCCATATAAGGACTTGATGAGTTTGCGAACATGATTAGGATGAGCAGTTTTATAACCTGGAGGAGGTGTCATATACACTTATTCATCCAAAGTACCATGGAGGAAAGCATTGTTAACATCTAATTTTTTTAGGAACCAACCCTTAGATGCTGCCAATGCAAGGACCAATCTAACAGTAGTCATTTTAACCACTGGAGAAAAAGTTTCAAAGTAATCTAAACCTTCTTGTTGAGTGTAGCCCTTGGAAACCAGCCTAGCCTTGAACCTCTCTACAGTGCCATCAGCTTTTCTCTTGATCCTAAACACCCATTTACATCCAATTGGATGTTTGCCAGGTGGTAGAGAAGTCAATTTCCATGTCTCAGTATTCTCAAGGGCTCAATTTCAAGGTTCATAGCTTCCCTCCAACATTCCTCTTTAACAGCCTGACTATATGTTTTTGGTTCAACCAAAGTGGAACAAGAGAAGACATAGGACTGATAGGATGGTGAAAGGGAAGAATAAGATAGGAAATCAGAAAGAGGATAAAGTGTACCAGTAGAAGATGTTGAAGATGGTTGAGAATCCTGAGATGAAGAATGGACCAAATTGCAATGATAATCCTGTAAGTAAGATGGCTTTGTTTTGGTTCTGGTGGATTGTCTTACAGGCAAAGTTGGAGGAACAACAGGAATATGAGAAGATGAAGGTTCAAACAAAGATGCATTGATTTCAGTAGGTAAAGAAGAAACAGTGAACAAAGTATCTTGTGATTCTTGTGATGCAATATTATGATCAAGAAAAGGAAATATATTTTCATAAAATATGACATTTCTAGATAGAAAAATTTCTCTTGTATGTAAATCAAACAAAAGATATCCTTTTACCCCTTCCTTATATCCTAGTAAGACACATTTCCTAGCCCTTGCCTGAAATTTAGTTTTATAAGCTGTAATGGTAGTGGCATAACACAATGAACCAAAAATTCTTAAGCTATCTAAATCAGGTTTGATGTTATGTAGAACCATATGTGGTGATTGAAAAGAAAGAACTTTTGAGGGCAAGACATTAATCAAGTATACTGCATGAAGGACATCAAAGGACCAAAAATGAATTGTTAATTTGGACTGAAACATCAAAGCCCTAGCCACATTCAAAATGTGTTGATGTTTCCTCTCAACAACTCCATTTTGTTGAGGGGTTTCTACACATGTCAATTGGTGGTTAATGCCATGAGAGTTATAAAAATCAGGAATATGAAACTCTAGACCATTATCTGTTCTTACTGTCTTAACTGGTTTCTGAAAGTGGTTTTGTGCATAAACAATAAAATTCTGTAAGGCTATTCTAGCTTCTGATTTATTCTTCAATAACTTGATCCAAGTAAACCTAGATTTGTCATCTACAATTGTTAAAAAATACTTGGCACCAGTTATAGAAGCATGGCAATATGGACCCCATATATCAACATGTAACAAAGACAATATGTTTTCTGAAACAGAAGTACTTAATGGAAAAGACAATCTTTTTTGCTTTGCATAGTGACATGAATCACAAGGATCACAATGAGTAAAAGGTATATTTGGATACAATTTGTGAAGTTTTTCAAAACAACTAGAAGAAAGATGGCCTAATCTATGATGCCAAACATGAGGCATAGAAGTTGGTAATGATTTGGCCATACAAACAGTATGAAAAGAAGCTAAAGGTTGCACTTGAGGAAAAGGAGGTAATTGCATGATGTAAAGGCCATTCTTGATCTCAGCTCTCCCAATCATCTTCAAGGTGATCTTGTCCTGTACATAACAATAATTGTCACTAAAAACAAGCCTGTTGAGCATGGTTTTGGTCAATTTATAGATAGAGATCAAGTTGACAGAAAAACTAGGAACATAAAGGACATTATATAAAATCAGGGTAGGAGAAAGAATAACTGTCCCTATGTAATGTGCAACTGCACTGGCGTCATTTGGTAAAGAAACTTGAATAAGATTTATAGCATGATAGGAAACAAAGAAATGTAAGGAACATGCTATATGATTTGTAGCACCTGAATCCATGATCCAGTGCGATGTAATAATGGACTTACCTATGCCATTGGTAATGACATTAAGAGTGCTCTCAAGATTGGAAGAATGTGAGGTAGCTGTTGGTTTAGAGGAAGGAAGCAAAGCTAGTAAACCTTGAAGTTGCTCCCTTGTGAGTTCCAAGCCTGAAGAAATAGACTGCTCTTCATCAACTGATGCATCAGCCCCTGTGGCAGCAATATAAGCCTTCTTTGGCTTGTGTCCATTTGGAAATTCAGGTGGATAACCATGCTTTTGAAAACAAGTATCAACTGTGTGATTCTGTCTTCCACAATGTATGCACTGCCTGTTAGATTTGCCATAAGATTTCTGATATGAAGATTTGCCTTTACCAAAAGCAGTATGTTGAGAAGGTAAAGCCTGAGAAGAATTAGCCTGAACCATCATAGCTGCAGAATCAGGAAGCACACTAATGCTTAGATGTCTTTCCTGTTGAATCACCATGGAGAAGATCTTAGGCAGATTTGGTAAGGGATCCATAAGCAGGATTTGAGATCGAGCTGCAACATAATTATCATTCAATCCTCTCAAGAAACAAAGAACACAATCATTATCTCTATACTGCTTGAAGGTTTTCACAACGTCACAACAACAAGCAGTTGGAGAAGAACAAGCAGGAATAGTTCTGTAATTACACATCTCATCCCATAGAATCTTCATCTTAGTGTAATATGCAGTAATAAACAAATCACCTTGACTCAAAGAATACAATTCATGATGAAGATGAGAAATTCTAACAGAATCACCTTGAGAAAAATGTGCTTTAAGATCCTTCCACACAGCAGTTGCAGAATCAAGCCATATAACACTAGTTGCAATTTCTGATGATACAGAATGATTGATCCATGAAAGCACCAGATTATTGCATCTCTTCCAAGCTGAAAGCATTGGATCATTGTCTGCAAGCCTTGGTATCGAACCATCCACAAAACCAAATTTATTTTTTATCTGCAGTGACATTTCCATGGCTCGAGCCCAGCCATGGTAATTGCTACCATCAAGGATCAGAGAAACAAGAACCAGAGAAGGATTCTCATTAGGGTGAATGTAGTAATCATGCGTTGAATCTTGAAGGTTTGCGGTTGTGATTTGAATTCGAGCTGCCATTGGTGCAGAAGAGAAAGCTTCAAATCACCAGAAAATCGATTCTGAACACAATCAAGAAGAAAACGCAAACAGAAACTAGCAAGAAAGATCAAAGAAGACCACAAAACTGAGAGCAGAAAAACAGAGACTACAATCAACAATGAACAATCAAGAATGATTCATTGCTGCCATTGTTGAATGAGGAAGAAAGCAATGAAGAAATGTGCGGAACTGTGATTTTTCTCCTGATACCATGTAGAAACTCAAGGGTAAATAAGCTCTCATTCTTATTTCATGAATGGAATAGTGATACATTAGGTAGTTATATACAGCTCAACTAACTTAACTGAAGCAATAACTAACTAACTGATTTCTAACTGCTTTTTAACAAACTAAACAGAAATTTACACAAGTAAATTCAATATAACTTGATCTCTTCACATAAAAAATGAAAAAACATAGAACGAATAATAAGTAAATAAAGCACTACTCACATTTAAAATTATAATTAATATCCATTTCTCAATCAAGTAAAAAATATTTAAAATTACATATATTTTGTCCATTTAAACTTAGTATCTTACAATATTCAAATTATATTATCATACAAATGATTTCCATATCAAATTACTTTTACATAAGACTGTGAATATTAGTAGTAATAGATAAACTTACTTAACTCTCATATAATAGTAACAAATATTAATGCAAGACACCAAACAACAACAAACAATAAAAAAGAATTCAAACATCATAATGATCCATACCTTTGGACGTGAATAATAATATTAGATACCCCATTCTTTTTCTAGTTTACATTTGAGTAGGTCGAGTTCTTTTCCTGGCAGTGAAACTGTTACCATTCTTCCAGTATTACCAATATCATCTTCTGGTCCTCGATAAACCAAAACAACCCCTTCATCACCTACACCACCAATGTCACTGTTTACCATTATAGGTTTCTTTCCATTAATCTTCACCCCATAAAAATCACCTTCTTCCAAGTCTACAAATGTTAATTTTGCACCATACACAATAAAATCTCCTTTTCCTTCACTTTCTTCCACAAACTTTTCCAATATATGGTTCTCATTCATTTTTTTCTCAGCTATCAGAGTCACTAACTCTGATAAATTAGATTCACCGGGTGATAAATTTGTTTCAATTCTACTCAACACTAAGTCATTCTTTGGAAATTCACTTTCTACACCATTGGAGACATTTGAAGTGGTTACTGTCACAACCCTTGGTCCAAAATCTCCTCTTATTTGTGCTATACATTTCCATATCATAGCTGAAATAATTTCAAAATATTTTGTGTTGGTTTTGGTAGATGTGAATGTTGTGGCCAAATGGTGAACTTGTTTGGAAGTGATGTGAAAAGTGTGTGTGGCTACATAACTGTCATTAGCAGGAAGCCAATAGTTGTCAACAAGTGTTGCCTTTTTAACAGAAATGGGATAATCAGAAATAGAATTTGATAAGAATTTAGGTTTGGTGAAATTTGAAATGTGAAGAGATTTTGGAAAAGCTTGAGCATCTAGTGTGTGACTCCAGTTGGTGATGAAGTTAAAAGCTGAAAATGCATCTCCAAGTATGTGAGCCCAACTTAGTCCCACTGAGAGTCCTCCACATTTGAAGTATGTGAACTGTCATAAAAACATACATAATTGGTTATAGCACATAATTTTAATGATATTCGAAAACATTAAACATTTTGAATATTATTAAAAATTGTTAAAAACTTATGAAAAATTAAATAATTATTAACACTAGAAGAGTTACAAAACAACAATATTGACATATTTAATTATTTAAAAATAAATATTTACAAGTGAAATTAACAAATTAAATTATTTAATATGTTAATTATTAAATATTTAATTTTCAAAATTAAAACAAAACTCATTTAAATGTGTTTTGGATATTATATTAAAAAATATAATATTTAAAGTTGTTTTAATATTATTTAAATATTAAATATTTAAATATGTCTGAATATTATTATAATTTGTTTAATTTTAAATGAATTTAAAAATTAAATATTATTAAAAAAATGTTTTTAGTTTGAATATCATTTAAATGTGATTTTAGTTTATATGAATTTTAAATAATGATAGAAAAATAGTGTGTCATAATAAATGAATTTTTATTTACAAAATAGTAAATAATAATAGCAAAATAGTGGGTTCATAAAAAAATATATTTATAAAATAGGGTGTTCACAATTAAATACATCTAATGTAAGACAACACGGCTAAATAATACAATGAATGAGAGAAAAATTGATATTAACCCATAAATATCTAACATGATGAATTATTAACAAAAGAAAATGTAATTAAGTTGGCAAGACATGAAACAAACCTATAATGGTAAACCTATGTGTGTGTGCCAAAAGCTATAAGATGAAACAAACTTTAAGTCGGGAACACTATGACAACAACCTAGCCACAATCTTAAATAATGAGACATGATTGAAAATATGTAGATATCACATTCATTTTTCTGTCCCACAAGATGTCTACTAAGGGCACAATATGAATTTTAAAGGGAGAGGATTGGTGGAGCTTATTCCTAGTCCTACTCTCCCCAATAAAGTTGCTTGTTTGTTTAAACCTTCTTTTGCGGCATTCAATTTTGTTCAGTTGTCTTATTGTTCTCAATGACATAGATGATACTATAGTCTATGCTGATTTTTTGTCATAATTATTACAGTACCTTCATTTTGTCTTATATTTATTTCCTTTGAAAATTTGATCACAACTACTATTTTATTAAGTAAAATTTAAGCTAAAAGTGTTAGCTTTTAATCTAATTTCCTCACTAAATAAATTTGAATAAAACATTAAAATAATCCTTAATCAGAATCTATTATTATTATTATTATTATTATTATTATCATCATCATTATTATCATTATCATTATTATTTTAAAATAGGAATTTGGTCTCGATAATCGAAGAGAATTAATTATGTCATTTAGGTATAGCATCTCATTTAGTCTTGCTAATAACTAATTCAATAAGATCTATATTATTGCTGTCCACTCATAAAATCTCATTTAAAATCAAAATAAAATTAAGTGTAGACTTAGTCCTACACAAAAATGTTCAATCACAAAATTCATTTAAAATCAGCATAAAATCATGTGTAGATTTAATCCCTCACCTAACTAGATTTAAATTTGAAATTTTGAGAGAAACATATTCCGAAGATTAAGCCTTAAGCAACATATCAAGCCTTGAGATTTTTATTATGAAATCATTTAATTTCTCAAATTTATATTAAAAATAAAAATTGAAAGTAAATAATTAAATATAAATTAAAATTACAACAAAATAATATAATACACATTTTTTTAATTATTGATTTATAAATAAATAAATAAATAAATAAATAAATAAAAATTTAATAATACATTAACTAATAGAGTTAAAAATGTTTTAAAAATATTTATAGCATTATGATGTTCTATTAAAATTTCTGAAGAGTCACTTAACATTCTTTCTATTTAAGTTTTTATTTTTCAGATATTACCTTATTAATTTGATAAACGTCAGAGATATTTATTTCTAAAATTTATTTCCAATACTGTGCGATATGACAGGTTCATTCATTCATTCATGACGATGATGATGATGATGATAGTACATACCTTGATAAAAACCAGAGGAGAAAACGCAAGATCAGGACCAAGCACGTGATCGTGTACGAGTCCATCAACTGAGTACTCCTTTTCATCCATCCATTCACGCAACGTTTCCTCACACCGCGACTCCGCGATTCGAACACCTGCATCGTTGCACTTGATGAACGGCCTTCCTGATTCCGATACCCTAACCCGACCCGAAACATGTGAGCATGAATCCAGCAGTGGAAACATCGGTGCTTTTAAATCGGAAATTGAGAGATCTTTAACCGCTTCGGAATCGAATAGATGAATGGATCGGATGTAATGGAGTTTCATCAGCAAGTCCATGTAGTTTAGGTTATACTCGCCGGTTTTTTCGCCTCGAGGAGTTGCAGGAACCACCGTTGAAATTCTGGAAGTTTGCAAATTCAGTTGTGTAGACATTTTGAAAGATAACGGACTTTGTGAGAGAGAGACTGTGTTTTCTTTATGCAAGATGAGAAGAATAGGTTGGTTATATATAGAAAATTATTTTACACTCTTTCAATTATTATTATTGCTATCTTTATATATCACTGTAATATTTTTGGCACATGACCAGGCTAAAAATTTTCACAATTCAAAAACTGTTGTGACATATAAGTTTTAGTCAAAATTTTCAAATCCTAGATATATATTTTGAAATGTTAAATCCGAAGTGTGAAACTGTGATATTTTCTTCAATTGTCATAGTTATAAAATCATATTTATATTTAAGTTGCGGTTAACAAACTATAGATATTTTAAACCACAAAGAAAAATCGCGACATTATAATTTTCACTTCAAACTGTGACCCAAGCCTAAATATATATACCAGCTAGAATTTTTCTCTTTTTTTTTTTAGTTTTTCTCTCGTTAATTATTTTCTTTTCAATTTTTTAAAATTAAAAAAAGAAAGAAAAAAATTGAAAAAGAATACAATCTTTTGATTTTCATCAAAGTAGCGTATCTAACCTAATTTTCCTGTTCTCCTTCCTCGCGTCTCCTCTGTTCCTCGCGCCTCATGTTCTCCTTCATCTAGGATTTTCGAAAACTCCAAACCTTCGTCACCACCTATCAATTCACCTAGGGTTTCTGAAAACCCTCCACCTCCATCTTTCCCTATCAAATTACCCGAACTCGAAAAAACTTCAGTCTTAGAGGAGTTAAACAGTAAATCTATCGACGAAATTGAAACTTTGGTAGAGAACAATGTCACTGAAACTATTGACAAAGACAGTTTGTTAGGAGGGTTTTGAAGTTTAATTATGTGGATGATGAAATCGACAGAAAGTTCACCGAGAAGACAACAGAGGAATTTGAGAATACAAAAACTGACGAGTTAGAAGAAAAGTAACATAATGTAGAAGATATGTCGGAGAAGAAAGTGAGTAAGAAGAAGGAGAAGAAGAAAAAGAAGAAGAGAAGTGACGACGATGACCGAAATGAGAAGAAGCAGCGGAAAGAATCTATCTCCAATAAAAGAAAAGCTAAGAAGGTTCATACGCTAAGAAGGTTCATACTTTATTTTTGAGAGAAAGATTTTGATTCAATTTGGATTTCATTTCTAATTGTTTGAGTTATTAATTTAATAGGAAAGGCAGTAGAATCTCAAACAGCTTCGAGCTGAGTCTTAGAGACTTCTTTGAGGTATGAATATTTTTTGGATTTAATTTATTTTTCCTATTATTTTGTTTTGTGTTTCTGATTAGTTATATAGTTTTGTATGATTTGGATAGAAACAAGAGATGTTGTGTTTAACCCTGGTCCTATGGTTCAGAAGCTGATTTCGTCTATAATAGGTAAAATTCGAAAGAGAAAATTGAAATTTTTGAAGAATTATAAAAATTATTTGATATTTTAGAGTTGGTTAGATATTACTTAATTTAAAATTTAAAATTATTTTAAAATAATTAAATATAAAAATTAACATAATATTCTGAATCATTATCCAAAATAGTAAATTATAGGTGATATAATAACGACTATTCCACAAATCAATTAGCTAGTTGTCAAATCAACAAGTATTAATTCGTAATCTATATATCTATTAATACTTTGATCTAAAAAAGTATAGCTAATAATACATTTGTTATAACAGATTAGGATACAAGTATTAATTTTTGTCAAAAGTGTATAGACATCAAAATAGCTATATTAAGCGCTTTAAAAAAAGTGACGCATCTAAAATGACTTATTATTTTGTACGAATTTTGTGAGGAATTGAGTTGCTGGCTTAAGTGAGGTGATTAATTTGTATTGAAAGATAATTTAGTATTTTTAGTATGTTGTTTATGTGATTTTAGTTTTATGTATATAAATAGATTAGTAGTTGTTATCTTTTAAATATAATTTTTTATATTTTTGTAGCCGTCATTGTAGAGTAATAAATATATTTTCTCTTTCTTTCTGTCTTCATTAAATATATTTTCTCATTCTTTTTGTCTTCATTAACTTACCATAATAAATATATAAAAACCAAAGTACCATTAACTTACCATAATACCCTAATTAGTAAATTTCAATTTAGTCTTAATCTAAGGGTATATTTGTAACTTTCTGAAATACTTGCACCATATTGATTTGACAATAAATATGGCTGATGTGTCACACTATGGTTTTTTCTACCACTTTTTACTTTTTTAATTATTTCTAACTAACAACAATTATGCCATTTTGTTTATATTTACACGTTATAATCACACCTAATTATGTGCTACATACCACTTCCCAAAACCCTCATCCAAACCAAAGGTCATTCAATTTGAAATTTAAATTAAAACACTCATATTATAGCTGCTACGTACACTGGGTTTTGAAATTCTAATTATTCCACTAAACCCTAATCACATTTTTGTTGCAAGATTTAAATTGGCAGCACAAGATGAACAACCATCATAAATATTGAGTTCTTGAAACGGTAAATCTATACAACCAAAGAAATCGTTTTTCCCAAGATGCAACAAATAACTCATTCACCCAACTCTATTAAAACACAAATCAGAAAACCTAATTTCATCTTCTTACCTAATTTCATCTTCTTCCTGCGCCGCTCCATCTCTTTTCATTCTTCTCTCTTTGTTGCTACCAATTTCGTTTCGTTGTAATCTCAACCATCTAATATTCTCATCCTAACCTGTTAATTTATTTGTTTCAGACGTTCAAGCGTAAGAATGGTGGTCGCAACCAAGACCTCTGAATCTCAACAACATCAATAACCAACAACACCCGTTATAGATCTATAAAAGAATTTCCTTCAAATGCAATTTTTAACGTTAATTTGATTCATACATATGTAAGTGACGAAGGTGAGTGATTGAAACATGTGATTGAAAGTTGAAACTGAAATGTAGTTTGGAATATCATATTTTATGTTGTATTCTTTTTGTTTTCAGGGTTGTCTTACTATTTCTCCTTTTCCAAAAAAAAAAAAGCTTAACTTGACACCTAAAATGGGACATCTTTATCTTTAGGTTTGAGAGTTGCAGAAGGGGATTTTTGAGCTTGCATGTGACGAACAACACAACCATGATATTGTTTATTTTTTGCTGTTAGGTATGTTTTTTTTTTTATTCAGATTTTATTTCTCAATTTTTTTAATTAAAATATGAGGTTGAGTTTTGGCTTTTTTTATTTGTTTAGTCTTGGTGAATACAAAGCTCACACATATATATTTACGATTGATTCTCCAAATAGATAGAAGCTTATTTCTTTTGCTTCCTCTTTCAATTTATTATTAATCTATTTCAATTTCAATTTCTCCCATCACATGTTTGATAAAAGAATGCAGTATATTCTCATCAATTTTGTTGTTTATTTTGCTTACTATTATATTTATTTGTATCTAATTGAGATTTTTGTATTTATTTTCTTGATTTAATCGGTTCTTCTTTTGGAATATGTATGGATATGGAGGCTGATAATTGATTTCACACTTGAATCAGTATGGGACCAATCAACAAATTGAATAACGGATTGATACGTAAAATGAAATTATGCTGATTGCGATTTGATTTTGTCATGTGAAAACAAGTTTAATATAGTCACAATCTGTCTTAACAAGGAATTATCAAACTTTACCTCATGGTCGATTCAAGCATTTGTTTTCGAGGTTGAAGATAGAGAGAGGATTAGTGGTTCGGCTTATGGGGGTCAACAGGACATCTGTTGCACCAATGATCTTCCTAAACTCACTGTGTGCAATGATGGACAGAGCTATCATCGGCCTTCTCCCATGAATTCAAATTGGCCTGAAGTTTATGGCGTGGCTTTTTATCATGCCCAAGAAATAAACAGTTTGTTTTTAGTTTTAATGCTTTATAATATTTGTTTGCAGAGTTGTCTTAGCATTTTAAGTGCCAATATTCACCATGGTCATGGCTGAGTGACCATTTGCTTCTCTAATTTCACAAACAAAATATTGCTAAAGAAGAATTGGAGACTGCCACAACAGAACCAGAGACCACTATTTTAAATCTACTTAATCGAGTCGATTTTCACATGTGATTCATCATCAAAGCCAAGTGTTAACTTATATTTTCATTCAAGTTATTTGATAGTTAACCTTATAATAGTAAATGTATGTTCAATATGGTGCAGATGATTTGATTTCCCGAGCATTTGATTTTCATCTACAACCGTAATTGAAGATTAGGAAATTGAAACCATTGAATTTTATGCTTCCACAAGGAATATCAATGGCTTTCATTGGCAGGTACTGATTATATACTAATTGTATTTTCTGACAGATAGCAAATGCAAATGTCTCATTGCAATGTTTGGAGGAACTGTTTTTGGAAGAGGAATGAGATTTTGATGAACATGAGGATAGTCAAAAAGATGAGACTCTTATTCACCCGAAGTTCTAAAGTAATATGTTTTTAAGGGTTCAAGAGTAGCGGGTGTTGCTGAAGTTCACTACCAATTTCAGAAGAACCATAAGCAAGACAATAATTATCTAAGATGTATAAGATGATAAAACCAACGTTGATATGCGATCATTTTCTGGTTCTATAGAAGAATGTTTTTAACAAGATTTGATTCAAATTATGTATATGTATATTATTATTGCTTTCATATTTTGTATGTCATATCAACATTGGTTTTGGCATAATATATTTTTCTACTGTAAATTATGTTGGCCTATGTTTTAATGGAATTTATAGAAGATAATAACCTACAAGTTGGTGTTGATGTGCCTTCAAAATTCTAATTTATTTTGAATCGAAATTATAATTCTCATTTGTCGTGAAATTTGAATAAAATTTTTATTTTGTATTGATATTTTTTTATTTTTAATTGCTATAATTTTAGAAACAAATATTACAATTTTTAATAAAATATTTACGATTTATTTTTTTAAAGTACGACTAATTAATATATTTTTATACAATATTAAAAACAAATATTACAATTTTTTAATCAA